GTTTAGGTGACCCTGTTTGATAACCTGAGTGAATTTTCAAGGCAGCCTTTGAGTCTGAAGGGATGGGCATTTGGGGTACAGATCAAGCTGTAGTGGTGTCCTCAAGGTACATCTCCCAACAAAATATGAAGGAACCCTTTGGCACCTGCTTTTCTGCCTTTACAAAGTACTACTTAATGGCTGGAGCATTGGTGTTTTGGTGAGCAGTGCCTGAATTTTTGTCAGTATTATCTTGAAATCACAGAATGGTTTGGATTGGAGGGGACCTTCAAGATCATAAAGTTCTAACTCCCTGCCATGGATAGGGACACCACTCACTAGACCAGGTGGCTCAAAATCCTATCCACCCTAGTCTTGAGCACTTCCAGGGATAGATTGCTTCTCTGAGCAACCTGTTGCAGTGTCTCGCCACCCTCACATGAAAGAATTTCTTCCTAATACCTAATCTAAACCTGCCTTGTTCCAGTTTAAAGCCATTCTCCTATGTCCTATCAGTACAGGCCCTTGTAAAAAGTTCCTCTCTGGCTCTGTTATTGCCCTCCCCCTTTAGATACTGAAAGGGTAATTCATCTTCATCTTAACATGTATTAGTAATTTAGCAGGAACAGTCTGTGTGTGGAGAAGGGGAAATGATCAGGCTTCTTTGAAATGTGCTGCCCTCATAAAGTCCATAGCCAAGGGTCACTCTGCTTCCCATGACCAAAGGCAATAGGAAGAAGGCAATGGTACTGGGAATGTCCCAGCCCCCAGACAAGGTCAGCTATGCTCAGAGAGGATGAACTCTGTGGTAGATCAGTTTGTGCTGCTCCCATTCTCTAATCCTTTGGTGTTCTCCAGCCCAGAGCTCTACCCCAGTGCTTTCCAACCCAGAGGGCTGCTTTTTCACTCCTTTATACCTTCCTCATCCCTTGTGTTCTACATCCCCTGCTGTCCCACAGCACATTTCTCCAAGTTTCCTTTTACCCAAGTTCTTAGTCCTGTCCTGTGTTTATTTGCATTACTGTCACGTCACTGTTGTCACCACACTTTTTGCATCACCTGGCCTGACCATGCCTACTCTTAAAGTCAACTTCCACTTCTTCCCCCACAAACAGCAGTGCCTGGCTCCTGCACCTTGGATTTTGAAAACATTGTGTATATTTATATCCCAGAAAAGACCAAATCTAGGGAAATTTAGTGATAACTATCTAGCAGCATTTTCTTGGTACTGGAAGGGCTTTTAAGACCTCGATATTATATTGTCAAAACTCTGAATTGGTTTGTTCTGACACTTTTGGGGTTTTTATGTAGTTTCAATTGAAATATAACTCTGCAGCTCTAACAGGCATGTTGGCCTAGAGGTCTGCTCACTTGTATGTGTAGGAGAAAAAAGGATGGAGTGCTGTGTTACATATGCACAGCACATCTTAAAGACATACTGTTTCTTGGAGTCATGTTTATTTCCTTTGATGTACAGAAAAAAATGGGAATTATATGGATAATGTATTGAATGGAAGAGACTACAGATAAAATATATGGTAGCCTGTAAGCTAGGCAACTTTGTCTGTTGCTACATATTCTTAATTTAAAATGAATATGTGTTGAAGTGCCAGTAAGCATTCATATTTTTGATTATTGTTTCTCATAACTTTAAGGTAATTATTTGAAGTGAAATTTAAAGGTAATAATTGTGTTGTGAAACTATCATCACTGTTTCATAGCCTGCTATTGATTTTGGCCAATTACAAGTGATGTCAAACTTTTATCAGGGTTTGGTGTTGAGTACTGCTGATGGTGTTTTAAGAGCAGAACTGTGCAATTGTTAAACTAAGTAAGAAATAGAAGAGTGACATTTAAAAGACAGCATCAGTATGTAAATGCTTATAACCAAACCTGCTTACCATTGGGAAGTCTTCAATGGCAAAGGGTAATTAGTTGAGAGTATTACAGGAGAATATCTGTATCAATTTAGACACGTTGACATTTATAATATAAAGTTAATATTAGGTACTTAAAAGTACACCCTGGTATTGTGGTAAAGAACTCCAAAACCAGCTATGTATAGTTTGAACTTTCTGACTGGTGGGAGGTACACCTAAGTGTGATTTAGAGGTCAGTTGTGCTGACTTTCTACAGGTGAGATGGAGTTTGGCACATACTCCTCTGTCTCATCCCCCTCCTCAATGGCACATGGCTTTTTGGTACTGCTACTGGTGGCTGCTGAGGAGATTGTTACACTCTTGCAGTAGCTTGGCTTATTCAGAGCCTCAGCAGTGACTGTTGTCACAGCCTGCTTACCTCACCAGGTTCTTCTGTGTGAGCTCAGCCTCTCAAATACAGAGATTATGCTCATAAGAAAGACCCAGAGTAAAAGATCTTAGACTAATGGTGAGATTGGGTATTTTTTTAATTGCTCAGACCATTTAGGGGCATAAATCCCAGATATTTCAGAGCATTAAATTATGATCATATTGGGGATTCTCATTTCAACTTTCTTGAGTTCTTAAATGGAAACTGACTATGTGTTGGTGTTATAATTTTGAACTACAGAACTCAATAGGAATATGTAAGCTAGAGAAATATAGAATGCAACCTCTTATTAAGGGGGAGCTACAAATAGCTCTGCTCCCTAAAAATTCTCCTAACATTGCATTAACATTGCTCTTTGAAGTGCCATCTGAGTACAAATAAAAAGTTGTAAGTAAAATACTTCTTAGCAGAGGCAGTGAAAGATGAATGAATAGTAATCAGCTTGTACTGTGTCAATATCAGTCTTATTAAGGAAGCCAAGTCTTGCAGTTCATTTGGAGTGTTCATCAATGATAGCATCTTAATACTGTATAGACAACTGGGCAGTGTCCTAGAAAGACCAGTCTTAAAGTTCCCTGGATGCTTGTTACTTCTAATTAAAGCAATCCTAAAGACTTCTATTTTTAATGGTCCTGCATCTTTATCTGGTAAAGAAAATGGAGATAATTCCCATGTGGAGAATAATCACATGGGAATTATCACACTGAATGTCTTCTCCTTTTTTAAGGTCCCTTACTAGAAATACAGCTAGTGGATTATTTTGTTTTTATTTTCTATAATAATTACGTTTTTCTTTTCATATAATAATTATGTGCAGTTCTTTGTAAGAATACTTTATTGCTTTAAAGTGCTTCTTTCTGAAATATGATGACCTACCTTGAATTTCCTTTGTAGCCTTTTTAAATCTTCTTTGCTAATTACTTCCCATATGTTTCTTTCCATTTAGAAAATCATTAAATATTTTCTTATTTTGCTTTATAGCTCTAGGAGAAAGTTAGATCAATATGCTGGATTTCCCAATTCCAGACACCTGAGTTCTGAATAAATTTGACTTACTGTGACTGAAAATGAGCTCAATATGCTTACCCTGACTTACATATACTGCTGAACCATTGCATAACAGTACGAGCCCTGATGGAAACTGGCACACTGATAGGGAAATGTGTTCTGATCCTTACTGGTCTTTTCTTTCTTAGGGTATTTCTGTCAGTGCACTGGAAATTTTTATATACCATATCTAATTACTGAAAGGTTTTTGAAGAATGATAGTTCAACACCTCTTTTTACTTAACTGTTTTATATATGTGAATGTTTTGACTTTGTAATTTTGCTGAGTTTCACCAATTTCCACTGTTGGTGAACCAGTTTAAAGTCATATATATTATATTGTTGTCAGAACTGGGAAGAATCAAGATCATACTCAAGCATATACATTCTGTGGGCTCAAAATTATTTACTGCCATCTAAGTTTCTGTTTTCTTTTGTTAATGAAAACAGGCCTGGCAATGGTGAGAAATGAGTTGGAAATGACAGGTGGCTTAGTTATAAAAAAAAATCTCAGTATGAATTATAAGTGTGTATATATATATATTTATATATACTTAATAATGTAAGAAAGAGACATCTCAGTGTCATTGCTTAAGCTGAGTGATGCCTACGTTTGTAGTTACTTCTGGCTATTTAATTTAATTCATATGTGAGGCCTTACTGCTAAAGGGAATGGGATGTAAAACTGAAAGAAAAAAATAGCAAACACTAAATGAAAACTTGGAGAGAATGATGGGTTTTCAATGTCCCTTTTAATCAAAACAGAAACTCTTTCCAGGGTTTGTCATCAAAAAAGTTCTCATTATTATGAAGAACCTGTAATTCAGTACAATGGTTATGAGGCTCTAAACGGAAGGAATGATTGCTGGGCCGTTGCTTAGCAAGAGGAACATTGTAATTATCCAGTCAGAACAGAACACTGCTCTCCTGCCCTTTTTGCTGGCCAGTGATGTTCTTGTCAGCCTGTTCATAACAGCAATGCCCTAAAATGCTCCTCTGGAATTTGGAGTTTATGTACTGATAGCATTGACTTGCACAGTATCTGCAGAAATCACACTCTTTCCCAGATGTATGAATTCGAGACAAATTACCCACTGTCCCTCTGGATCTCAGTGGTATATGCAACAACTTTATTAAGAGAACAGCAGCACAAGCTGTATCTGGGGCTCTTTTTATTTAGCAAACCATTAGCCAGTATTACAGAGATTCTCTGTTATTTCTTTGCTTGTAGTGATGTCATTTTTGTATTTCTGTGCATACTCTTATGTGCCCTACTCTGTTTTAACTCATGAGCTTGCTGCTTTGAATGTGTGTGTTCACAATTCTTTTCTCTTGCTGTCTTTTTGTCTTTAATGGTCTCTAATAAATAAAAAAGGCACACACCTGCCATTCTTCCACGTTACTGAGTGGCATGCATCACAAAGAAGCCTATGAAATGATTTTGTTGAAGACCTGCTTGCAACATAAACACAAATTACTGGTGGGCACCCATCTTTCCTTTTTTATAATAGTTCAAACAGAATTGTGTAATCAGATTTGCAAGCGTAGCTCTTGCTATCGTGGTGAAGATTGTTGCCCTGCTAGGGTTTTATCTAATTACTACAGATGCAGAAAAAACTTATGGATGTAAAGTGATATGTTAAAAGATTCTTTTCATTTTTTAGGCTACTCACCCAGAATGTTGGTCTTCTTTATGTTGGAAACTTTGACAGACCTTTTGCACAAATTAAGGTATGATTAATAAGCTGGGGGGGAGGGGGCTATTTCAATTATTTCACTTCTGTATGATTTAGAGAACTTCAGGACTTTTACGTTATCAATATAGCTTCAGAAAAAACAATGGGAAATAGTGCTGCTTTGGTTATGTTTACCATATTCTGGCTTTGCTTTTGGTTTAATCTGTGCTCTTAACTTGTCAAAGAAGTTTAGTTTTTCCAATCATCTTTTGATTAATTTTGACTCTGGTTTAATTACCAGAAGGTTTTGTTGCCAGAGACATTTCAAAGCTAAGCTGCTTTTGAAGCCTTGTAGTTCTTTAAGTGATCCTTGACAGGGAAGACACTGCAGTAAAAAGCACAGATTGTTTTCACAGTATTATTAGATTTATTATGAAAGACTCATACAATTGCTGGAAAATAATTTGTCTTTTATGACTTATTGTTTCTTTTCCTTCAGTAGAACTATAATAGCTTCATGTTCCTAATTGCCAGTTGCTAATTAGTTATTGCCATGTCACTTGCCAACAAAAATGTTTTACAAGACTATATGGACTGATTCTGATGAGTGTCATCGATATTTTCATTAGAACAAAGAGAGGGAGGCATTAGCATGTCAGCCATTAAACTACAATGTGGAAATGTGGTATCTGTTTTAGAATGCTGAAGTGTTCCCATGTCCTAGATTATACCTGCAATTATTACATATTCTGCACTCTTGGCTGCATTGTTCCCTCCATCATGTGCATATGCTTGTGCTTCAGAATTTTAAAAACCTTGTTTTTGTTTTACATCAAAATGAAACTTAATTTCTAAAACTCAGATGTGTTCCTTTGCCATCCCTAATTATGTTACTAAACAGTATTCCCAACTGTATCTAGCAAATACTTTTTGTAACTTAAACCTTGATACTGTATTAAAACTATTTTAAAATAAGAAAAGCATGCTTTTCATCTTCCTATTTCCCTTTCTCTCATCTCCCCAGTTCCTACATGTGTATTATTCAGTTTGGCTAATAACCAAGCAATTAAAATGTTACTTGCATGAAGCAGCTTGTTAGAAGTTTCTTCAAAAATAACCTTGTATACTTTTGTTGATACCTGTTAAGATTAGTGCTTCTTTAAAAGCTTTATAAAAGTTAACTGTTCTGCCGTTCTAACATCCTTTTCTACCTGCTCCATCCACTTATAAGAATAATAAGTAGCAAAATGGGAGGTTTTTGCCATGGCTTGGAAGAGTTTAAGTCAGAAAACCTAATACTTGGTGCCTCTCTTAATGCTTTGGGCCAGGGAGGGACCCTTCTGCTCACAGGACAGCTGTAGAGATGCTGTACAGGACCCAGCTGCAGGACTGAATGTCAGGCCACTTGCAAATGCTTCAGGACAGAGGGCACTAACAGGATAAATCCAAAGTGTGCAGACAGCTACCTGCAATTTGCATGCAAGATCTTCTCTGCCAGAAATGGTATCTGGGTCCTGTTGCTTAATAGGCTCAGTTGGACTTCCCTCCCTCAGTGTGCTTGAGGGATTTTCCACTGAATTTTCAACATACAAAGCCATACTATAATTGTGAGTTAAGGGTTTTTTTTATCTTTTCAATCTATTGCCAAATTATTCTTTTTGTTTCAACCTAGCCCTTATGTCAAGAGAAGTGATGAGCAGTCATTCTCTATTCCTGATTTTTAACTTCCCCTACACATTACATCTTACATCCTCCAGACCACAGAAATTTAATCTATTTCATTGCTCCTGAAATCCAACCTGTATCTCCAATCAATTTTTTGTTTTACATACCCTTCTGTATTTCTACTGTTGCTTTTTTTAGAGTAGGGGATGGCATAGTGTTGAAGATATGGACATAATAGCATTTTCTGTTGTGTCTGCAGTTCTTTATATATGGTACCATGCTTGCTAAATACCTGATATACAGTTAATTTGAGTAAGTTAATACTAGACTTTCTGGTAATATATCACTGGTGTAGTCTCATCCTAAATGTTGCATTTGCCACAGAATAGGTTAAGTGGATAATCAAATGAATTTCAGTTGCTGCCTTTGAAAAACAAAGGCTATTTTCCTCTTAATTATTGGAGATTACATTGAAAAGTTTGAATAAGCTAATTCCACAAGCTGTACTCTATAAAATATAACTTATTTGTGGAGCTATAAGGATATATATGGGTTTATGTTTGCACACTGTTGCTTTGCTTTGCTTCTGGTGCTAAAAGCAGTGCTGCAGTGGTGAGCTGATTGGTGTGGCTTGTTATTACCTTCAGCTGGGAAATGGCATGTAGTTAGCAAAGACAAAAAGCTTTTGAAACTGAAGCTTCTCTCTGTTTGCTTGACATTCTAATGGAATTTTTGCTGCATGGCAGCAGAAGGAACTGGTATGGAGTGATGGGGGTCACAACTTTTATAGAGATCTTCAATACTGAAAGAAGAAAAAGGGAGTAATAATTCACACTGAGAGTTGATGGTGCAAAAATAAGTTTTTGTACTCTGGAGATGTACAGTATTCTTTCATAATTGTTGACACAGGTTTCTTTAATTCTTCCCCCAGCTCTTCTTCAGGTGTTTAATATGCTTTTGCTAATGATCCCATCAGTTAAAAGACCAGTGAACTACATATGGTCCTTGAATATATATAAGGCAGAGTCTTTATAACCTTTTAGTTCAAATATGCTTTTACACACTGTGTGATAGATTGGTCTCTCTTGTTCTATAAATTATCCACTCATGTTCATTTGCAAACATCCCAAGTATTACGTATTCTATTAAGATATAGCATTTTCTGCCAAATGTATGCATTAAGGAATGCCCCAAACCACTGCAAGTCCTCTGCCAATGTAGATTTATTACTCAAAGTGGACCATTACTAGACAGCAGTACCTCCAGTACATTTTAGTGCTCTTTCAGTTGGACAAGTAGGAATGTTACCAGGTCTTTGAAATATTCATAGTAAACATATAAACTGCCGTGCTAGTACTCCTACATTCATGTTTTAGTTTATGTGCATTTACAAAATTGCAAAAAGAACTCCTTATCAAATTATCCCTTCCCAAAAGCAAACACGTTTGATTTTCCAAAACTGTGCAGGAGATAATTGCACCAATGTCTTTGATAATGAAGAATTGTAGATGGCAATTCTGGGAAAAGAGTTTGAAATAGTAATGTCTCTTCTAGGATGATTTTTCTATATCTTCCTTTCTTATATCAATAATTCATTAATATATATTAATATTGATAATGTTTCTGAGACATAGCTGAACTGATAAGATTAACTGAAATTACCTGATCTTCCTCCTCAACTTGCTTTCAGTGCTATCAGTGGTTGTGCTTGATAGGTGTTGCATATCTGTACTTCACTGTGCAAGAGAAATGTGAATCATTCACTCCTGAAGCTTTTGAATCTTGCATCTGGTAGCAGATGGATAGAAAAAATGGGAAAAAAGAATTTTCCTGGCTAGAGGGATCTGCCTGAAACTTAATTTTTCTAATAATGTGTGAGTTCATAGGTATTTTAATTTATTTCAAGATTTTTTATGTTGCTACTTTGGACGGAGTTTATGATAGAACATTTAAGTTTTTGCACGGTGTTTGTGATTATGATTACAGGGTAATATTTAGTGAGTTTCAGTAAGTTCAGTGATTTATATAAATGATGTCTGTTTCAGTTAGCTTATGAAACAATTCATTATTTCAAAATTCTGCTACGGTAATGGTTTTTCATTTTTTCCCAGGGGATTGTTCTTTAAGGTTATATTGAAGGAATCAATTTAATAGCAGGTAGTTACTTTTAATAATTTAGTTTTGTTTCTAAATAAGATTGTTCTAAAATACTATTGAATTTTAATGTCCATTCAATAGTAGTGTAGAACAGTTTCACCATAAATGTTTGCTTTCAGTATCTTTTCCCATTAAAGCAATGTTAGTAGTAGTAATAGTAGTAGGTACTGTCATACACTTCTGCTTTCTTTCAAAGACCTCTGGAGCAATACAATGATTTGCAGCTTTCTTTGGATCTTAATTGGTTGTATTTATTAAACAGTTCTTGGAAATTTGATGAAATGAAAAAGATTTCTGTAAGTGATAATCTTGATCAAGAAGATAAAGTATTGTTCATCAGCTGGAATTAACTGGCAAGCTTTCTTCTGTCTTTTTTTCCCTAAATATTGTTAGTATTTTTTTGCTAACAAGGAAGGTATTAAAGCAAAATCCTTATCATAGAAATTTTGTGTTTATTAGAAGTAACTAAATCTATTTTCCCAGTATACATAATAATTGCCCGTAATAATGGAAGTGTATGTTACTGGGGTTTTATGACACATTGTTTTTAAACTTGAGATTTGATCAATGTAGATTACAATGAAAACTTAGCTACACTATATGCAGTAATTATATCTATAAAGAAAATCATACTGCTTAATCAATTTATTAGGATTGTAAGTTTTTGCAGTTCAGTTCCTAGTAGCTTCTGGGGTTAGGAGAAATGGTTCAGTACACTGTGTTCTCCATTATTAATAAGTAATGAAGCTTCTGGCAGTCTTTACTATGAGCTAATAACTAGTTTCATTTTTTGGCTTTCTTAGCACATTAAATTACCATTTAAATAAAGATTAATTACTACTGTTTTATTTTTAGTATTTTAAGAGTAGTTATTAAAAGTTTCATAGTAACTACTGCTTTGTTCAAAATAGAATTGTTTGATTTGATAGAATATGAGTAAAGTTACATTGAAAAGAATATTTTGAAAATAATAACGTGTTGTTAGTATTTTGGTTTTGATTATAGGATCCCAGTGGAAAATTCTGAGTTTTAAGTTTGCTTCTGGGGAATTTGCTGCTATAGTTACAGCAGTCTTGCTGTCAAGAACTAGCAAGGAATCAAGATCTCTGCACTGACCTGTACCTCAATAGCCCTAATCTGTGATTTTATTAAACTTGAGTACAGAGTTGCTGATTGCTGAAGCAGCTAAGCTGACCACCTACAGTCTAGGAATGTAGTTTGGTTCTAAGCTAT